AAACTTGTGATTTTGCAGGACCGCACCACGAGGACGCTGATTGGAGCGGGTGAACGTGAAGGTGAGGGACTGTACCACTTCCGAGGTTTCGAGACTGTGACTGCGTTTCAGACAACAACATCAGATGAAGGGGTTCTCTGGCATCGTCGTCTTGGTCATCCGTCAGCTCGAGTTGTGGCTTTACTTCCGAATGTTCGTCTTAAATCTAGTAGTAAACTTTGCTTCTCAAACTGTGATGTCTGTTTTCGATCCAAACAAACTAGAAACCCTTTTCCCGACAGTTATAATAAAGCTTCTACTTCTTTTGAACTTATTCATTGTGATCTTTGGGGACCGTATCGCACCGCTGCATTCTGTGGTTCACGATATTTCTTAACAATAGTCGATGACTATTCTCGGGCACTATGGTTGTATCTCCTCCCCGACAAAACTGAAGTAGGCGCCAGATTACAAGAATTCATCGCCCTCATCAAACGACAATTCAACTGCAATATCAAAACGATACGAAGCAATAACGGCACAGAATTCATGTGTCTCACCAAATATTTTCGACAAGAGGGAATCTTACATGAAACTTCTTGCGTTGGAACACCACAACAGAATGGACGCGTCGAAAGAAAACATCGACATATACTCAACGTCGCCCGGGCTTTGCGTTTTCAAGCTGGTCTCTCCGTCGAATTCTGGGCTGAATGTGCTCTCACAGCATGTTATCTCATTAATCGAACACCTACCAAGCTCTTGAACGACAAAACACCTTTCGAAGTGCTGTTTCAACGTCCACCGGTCCTCGATCAGATACGAGTTTTCGGTTGTCTTTGCTATGCTCATAATCAAAACCAACATGGCGACAAGTTCGCTTCCCGTAGCAGGCGCTGTGTCTTCTTGGGTTACCCTTACGGCAAGAAAGGATGGCGTCTATATGATATCGAGAAAGAAGAAGTGTTTATCTCACGAGACGTTCTGTTTCAAGAAGACATTTTTCCCTACTTACAACCAACACCCACGACCTCTACCGAACCAATTCACGACTTCACCTCCAATCATATATCCACCGAAGACGACCCCGAGCCTGAACCTACTCCAACAACATCTATCACACCGGCTGTTGAAACCACAAACCACGACAATCCATCAACACCCGAACCTGCAACTACTGAAACTGCAGACCAACTTGGTCGTGGTTTCCGGACAAAGAAACCACCAACAAAGCTCGCAGATTATGTCACAGACACGATTCCACCAGCTGCTCCCAGCACAGTCTCGATCAATACAGTCACTGTCACCTCACTCACGTCCACCGCCCAATCTTCATCCTCAGGTACGGACCACCCACTCTCTTCTTATCACATATATGACCGATTCTCTTCGTCTCATCGCAGCTATCTAGTGGCTCTCTCCATTGCAACTGAACCACGTTCATATAAAGAAGCAATGCGTGACAAAGCATGGATGGAAGCTATGAGATTGGAGATAAATGCTCTCGAATTAAATGGCACATGGGACATCCAAGAACTCCCACCAGGAAAAATCGCCCTTGGATGTAAATGGGTTTATCGTATCAAACTTAAAGCCGACGGCACACTTGAAAGATATAAAGCAAGACTTGTGGTGCTCGGAAATAATCAGGTCGAAGGCATCGATTATGGAGAAACCTTTGCTCCCGTTGCCAAGATGACTCTCGACATAGCAGAAAAACAAGACTACGTAGTTCATCAAATGGACGTCCACAACGCGTTTCTTCACGGCGATTTGGATGAAGAGGTTTACATCAAACTACCTCCAGGTTTTCGATCCGACTCTGATACTCGTGTATGCCGTCTTCGAAAATCTCTTTAAGGTCTTAAACAAGCCCCCCGATGCTGGTTCGCCAAACTCGCTCACGCCCTCCGAGCTTTTGGTTTCATCCAATCCACAAAACAATACATGGTTATTAAATGATTTTTACAGTTTTCCTTTATTTTAGCTAATTTTATATATTTCATTTTATTATCTTTTCTAAACAATTTAATAATATTTATTACAAAAGTACAAAACAATACTTATCTATTTTTAGTATTTTATTATTTTTTTACATTCTTTTTTTTCCAGTATTATTAATTCTTCATTAATTTTCTTTATCATAAATAATTTGAAAAAGTATTTTATATGTTAATCACAATAATTCGACATGTTTGAATAAAATGAGTTTCATTTATGGAAAGAATTCAAAATAGTCAACATAAGTTTTTTTTTTATACAAAATCATTTAGGAAAGAGCCATTCAGAGTATTCGTTCGGATACAAATCTCATCTTTCGAGTATCATTTTTGAATTTTAAAATTAAATTTTATTCAGGTATTATCATTTTCGGTAGATTTTTAATCGGGTCTCCCATATTTGATTTTGATGTATAGAAATATAAAATGTAATGAACCAATGTATCTGAAACTGGTTCGAATATTTTTACTAGAATAACCATTTACCTTATTCAATTTAAGTATTTTGTATCTAAATTCATGACAACCAAAAATAATCATATTATCCAATTCGATTCAGATTTAGTTATATTGTATAAGAACCTAAAAATATTCAAATAACTGATATATAAATAACTATATAGTGATACGTTTAAAATATGTAACACTAATCATAAAAACATAAATATCAATTTATAAAAGGTAAAAATGAATATCCACTTAGAAAAACTGAATACTTACATGGAAAATCCACGCAAAGCGCAAGTTAATCTCTAATTTCTAACTTATATGAACGACAAGTAGGCATAGTAAACACAACTACATGGTTTTTCTCGTTCCAGAAATAAATTGCAAAAAATGCAAAGTAAAGAAAAATAATATTTGGAAATGAAAAATAAAAATAAATTCTGGAACATAATTTCTCAATACAAACAAGGAGAAAATATGAACACAAGAAAGTTTATGTTGGTTTGTGTCTTCAACAAAATCATTTATTTCAAACAAACTCCAACACAATTAAAACAAGAAAAAAATATCAATTTCTTATTTGTTCCACATCCTTTGTAGTAGTAAGAAAGGGACTTTAGCTAATCATCTGAAAAGCCAATTGATTTTGTTTTGTTTTACTTGGAAGAAACAACGAGTGAGAGAGAAGCTTCTCTTAGCCCGAGAGAGCTGCGTTCATAGCACTGTGAACTTCAACACCAATCTGTGCTTCTGCTTTCTCAAGATCCGTTGATGCAGCAGCAAGTTTCTGTGTGAACTCAGCTAAACCCTTTTGGACTTGACTAGCGTCAATGTTCTCTAGCGGCACGGCCTCAACCGCGATGATGTCAGCCACGGAATTTGCGTGTAGAAACGCGAAACCACTGCTGACGAAGTATTTCTTTATGTCAGTGCCTTCGTGAACAGACATGATACCGGGTTTCAGCTCAGCGATTGTTGGAACGTGTCCAGGCAAAACTCCCATTTGTCCTGTTGTCGCGGGAATGATGACCATGTCGACCTTTGATGTGGACAAACGAGAAACCAATCAGCTTTGAGTTACGATTAAATATATACAAAGAAACGAATCAAGAACAAGGCTTAGTTCTGTTTTTGTGTGAAAAGAAGAAGGATTCTAATGAAGATGATATATAAGCTTTCAATGCATTCTAATGAAGAGATACCACAACGAATGCACTAACTTACAGCGTACTGATATTTAGCTGTAACCGAATAAGTCTATGGGAATGCAAATATTGAACGAAATAACAATGAATAGAATTACTACTTGCCATGGAGATGAACTCGTGATCTACGTTTATGTTTTGACAATACCACAGTTTCAAACACACGTAATAAATCATATGTTAAAACATAGCACCAATCAGATCCAACGAAAATCAAAGGTCCTAAGACCTAATAAACCACATTTTTGGCATCTTATCATGAATCAATCACGAGCAGATGAATCACAAACCAAAAGCCATTCATGATCCAATGTCCTCACAGGAAACCTACCACTAACACAAACTTAATTATTCACATATATTAAGATTCAGTAAATAAAGATCTCCCAATACATATAATACATGAAGCAATACCACAATGTACGTACCTTACAGCATACTGATAATAAGCCTATGAGAATCTGAATACTATACGATTCAAACAATGAACAGATTACTATTTTCCATAGAAAATGAGCTCATGAAAACAAAATGCATAACCAACATTCAGTTTACATATATACCACGACATAGATTATACATTTACAAAACAATTCCACATATACTAACAAATCATCACGGTTTCAAGATAACATAAAAGATCATATATGAAACATATCAATCCCCATTGTATTAAAAACCTTAAGATCTAAGCAAAATCAATGCTACCTAATTAACCGTTACCTTATCATGATTCAAACACCAGATGTAACCACACGAAACGTTACAACAAACAAAAAAAACAATAAATCAAACCCTAAAAAACCAAAAATGCGAGGAAGATGGGAAACGGACCTCTTTCCCGGAAAGCTCAGATGCGTAAGGGAGGACGAAATTGACAGTGAGCTTCGTCGGAATCGAAGACGCAGTCGTCGGACGAGGCTTCATGTAGGCGGAAGGAGTCTGTGGCGGGTCCATGTTCGGCGCGACTTTCTTCCATGACTCCACAAACGTCGAATCGATCGTCGTCGACGGAACTTCCGTTGACAAGGCACGAGTCGTCGCCGATTTGGAGGATCCGGCGGCGACGGATCGGGAGATGAGGCGGAGAGAAGCTTGTCTCAACATGGCGGCGATTTTGGTGGTGATGACTCTAATCGATAGAGAGATAGAGAGAGAAGTCTCTTAAAGAGAAAATGCTGTAACTCTCAAGTGTTCTCCGACTCTGAAGGTCACGCGCGTAGTTTAGCGAGTGAAAAAGTTAATTTACTTTTAGTTTCGGCCCAACATAAGCCCATTAATAGCCCATTTAACTAATTGATAAGAATACTGTATATGTAAATCGTCTATGTCTAAGACCAGAGGGTTTCAAACCCTAATCAATCACACGATGGTGCCCTCCTCGAAAGCCGTCGTTTTCGCGAGGCAGATGGCGAAGAAGATTCGCGTTACGACGCCGTTTACACGTTTTCTCTCAACGGGGGACAAACATCACCAAAACCCACCAGAGCCTTTACCCAACAGACCCTTGCGTGGAGAAAGATCTTCTAAGCCTTCTTCACAAGCGCCTAAACTTGAAAACACACTCTCTGACCATAGCTTCCTCGAACAGTTCAAGCTCGGTGTAACCCCTCAAGAAAATTCACTTGAACAAAATCCCAAGCCCCAGGAGGAAACAAGCGAGGAGCCATTACCCGCTCCTCAAGACTCGGAGGAGATCTTCAAGGCGATGAAGGAAGGAGGTCTGATTCCCAACACTGTAGCAATGCTTGATGGGCTTTGTAAAGATGGGCTTGTGCAAGAAGCAATGAAGCTGTTTGGGTTGATGCGTGACAAGGGTACGATCCCTGAGGTTGTTATCTACACTGCTGTTGTCGATGGGTTTTGCAAGGCTCATAAGATTGAAGACGCTAAGAGGATTTTTAGGAAGATGCAGAGCAGTGGGGTTTCTCCGAATGCTTTTAGCTATGGTGTTTTGGTTCAGGGTTTGTATAATTGCAGCATGCTTGACGATGCTGTTGATTTTTGTGGTGAGATGCTTGAGTCTGGTTACTCTCCCAATGTTCCTACTTTTGTGGGATTGGTTGATGTGTTGTGTAGAGAGAAGGGTGTGGAACAAGCCCGGTTGGCTATTGAGATGTTGAACAAGAAAGGATTTGCTGTTGATTTGAAGGCAGTGAAGGATTTCATGGAGAAGACGGCGCCGTTTCCGACTTTGGCGTGGGAAGCTATTTTTAAGAAGAAACCAATCGAGAAACCTTTTTGATTGTTGTCGCAGTCTCTCCGTAAAATGTGTAGTTCACTTGTAGTAGGAACCTTGGCACAAGAAAAAAATAAAGACCTGCTGTGGGTTCAGATTATCCAGTTCGGTTACCTTTGGCCTGTGATGGATATTGTATCAAATGGGTTATAAAAGTTTCAGACTTTTGAGTCTTGGAAGGTAGAACCATCTTTGATCAAATTACAGAAGATTCGGAATTTAATGTTCTTTTTTAGTTTAATGTTTTAAATCAGTAAGATTTTATAGAAAAAATTGTTACCAGATTAGATTTGAATGTGCTATCAATCAGATAGGTTCCAGGTTCATAGTGAAAGAATGGTTCACAAGAAAACAAATTAAGCTTGCTCGAGTTTTCATACAGGCTCAGATGTTTTAATTGTTCTGTTCAGAAAAAATAGTTACCCAAAGAACACAGGTAGATCCATCTAAAACATTTACTTCGTTGCAAAACTCTATGCATAATCACACAACTCAAATCCTCTCTAGTTTCTTAAACTACCATTTCTTCTGGCAAAACCCTGAAAGTTTACTCCAGAAACAAAAACCAGACACACCTAAAACTGAGAAGAAGTTGTGCTTTTTTTACCAGATTTACATGAAAAATAAAATAACACCCAACTTTCTTTTTGTCTTTGGATCGTCAAGCTCCAGATTCATACGCCCAGAATGTATCTGGATCGGGACAAAGAAGGGAAAAGTCTGGAACTTCCAGATTTGCGACGTGCCAGTCAAGGAACCGAGCTTGTATCGACTTGAGTAACAGGAGGACTGTTGGTAACACCCACCACTTATCATCATCTCTGCCAAAAACATATACACCAATTTTGACATCAAGTAATTACAAACTTTGTACTGTACCAAGTAAAGACCAAAAAAAACGCGATTCATTACCTTATGGCGTCCCAGATGTTTGTTATCTCATTTAGTTGGTCAGAGAAAAACCCAGAATGAATGACACCGCAAACGAAAGCCACAATCTGCAAAAATACTTTGGGAATAAGAGACGATAGAAGGGAAGCCGGGGTCAATTTGTTTTGAAATGCATGTATGTATCAACTTACGACGTTTGTTAGAGACGTCGCGTTCCAAAGGGCGTAGATACGAGTAAGTGAGGCTCTTCTCATTTCTTTACTTAATAAAGCGTTAAGGCCAGCCGGGAATGGGCAAAGCAAAGCGAGAGGTAGAATCAGGAGGATAGCGAGAAAGGCTGCAAGGGCAAGCCAATAGAACTGAAGTAAAGCAAGGAGCGTTACTGAAAGATCCGCAAGAAGAAGGATGGAGATCAAACGTAAAAGCGTATCCTGCATACACCACATGATGATTTTGCTTATGTTAATACCAAAGAAGAAAAAAAATCAGGAGAATAGTTCGTTATTCAAGAGTGGAGAATATATAACCTGACGACCAACGGGTCGGGTGTTGTTTAATAAAAGAGAAAACGGAAAAAGTAAGTCCCTTCTGTACTCCAGAGATTCTATTGAAATCTCATTGATGAGGCCTCCATTTATTCCACCATTGATTCTCTTTCGAGATAGGCCATGTCCAGGTTGGATCAAGTTTTGTTGCAGCTCGACAAGAGATTTGCTGGGACATGTAGAAGTGCTCCTAGAAAATGGAGTTACGATTAAGCAGGGTTTAACTCTTACTCTCTTAGAGATGTGACAAAACGAGAAGGAACAATCCATCATGGCTTACCGAGGAGTATCGTCGTCACTTCTGCTGAATGAATCTGATCGGCTTACAGCGTTCATAGGAAAATCGCCAACAAAAACTAAGATACCAAGTTGGTAATATCCGGAAGCTGTAGCTTGAAACCATCCAAGCTCAATTCTTACACCGTGGAATTCTAGTTGAGGATTTCCATGGCTGTTTATCCACCTAATGACAGGAAGTAATGCTGAACGAATTGATCCGTGCCTCACAGTCCTAAGCTGTGCATTTAAACCGGCAACAAAGCGGTGCAAAACACCCGGTGGAATGTGCTGTAATAGTGATTTGAAGCCTTTAGGAGAGTTTCAGAGTAGAGATTGTGGAAGAGAACAAAAAATTAGAGAGAGATAAGCTAACCTGGCCAAGAAGATTTGTTAGCAGTGCGTCACTATGAAGACTATAAGGTGACATATAACTTCCATCTCCACCAAAAAGTATGCACATTGGGAATCTTTTCTGTATAATAGAGACCATATCTACACGCTTCTCGTCACCGCCAAGGAAAAAATCTACATACGCAACCATCAGATCCGGAGTCGCTCCAACCTGTTAAGACGTTCGACACAGACAGTCAAAATGCGAAGTAAAAGCTAGCTAGTTGTGAAGCAACAAATATAACATTAGACTATACGAATCCGAACCTTCATGCCTTTGTAGAGAGCTCTAGACCTGCATGAGCGGAGGCAAGAGTGGTCATATTTAGATTTCACATATTCCTGAAGACGATGTATCTTTCTCCTGCGACGCCACTGTTTCCAAGACCAGGCACAAGGATTTGCTAGAACTAATAGAATGCTGTGCACAGACCCTTCCCACCAATCATATGCCGCCGTAGAGTTGATCTCATCAATAAATCTGTTAAAAGCATCCTCGTACCTGTGAATGAGAAATGTACAGAGCAATGAGTTGACAGGCCTTGGAATAATAATGAGCCAAAAGTCAGTGTCATATTGGTCAGCAAAGAGTAAGACTAAGAGAAAATGAATCCGGATTAATGGTAAAGAGAAAAGACATAGTTTTTATAAAGACTAAACACAGAAGAGATTGTAACTGAGCCAAGTATTTTTTTAGTTCAACAACTTTATTCAAATATTCTGGCATCCAATCGCAACAGAGTTTGACCTAGTCAAGTTATATCCTTACACTATCTCGATGATTGCATCGGGAGGAGAGTAAGGCAGATGCCAAGGTTCCCTGAAAGTGTTTGGACCCATGAAGTACATACGATAAGCGTGGGTTTGTGTATCGTCAGACTTTGCGCCTCGGACCTAGAATGATAGGAGACAGGCCAGATAATTTAATCAACAGAAACCGAAGATTTGGGACAAGACAATTTCGGTAACACCATACCTCAGAGAGTGACAAAAGATGGGGTAAACAATGAGCACTCTGATTTTCGATAGAATTGGCACCATAGAAGCTTAGTCTTAGCAATCTGATACTTAATGTGCTTAGCAACAGACCGAGAACTACCACCACACAAGATAGAAGAAGAGCAAAGGGAAATGGCCCTCCAAATGCATAAACAAGTTCTTCCAGAGGTGTATAGCAGTTTGGCAATCTGTACTTGTCAGATACACATTTATACGGACAAACAGGTTCGCTAACTCCTCCTGCAGGTTCAAAGCGCCTCCCATCAGAAGATATCACAGTTAAGAAGAAAAAAGGGCTCTGGGGGTGGAAGAGCAAGAGAACTATAAGATAATATACCTCGTACGTATACAAATTTTGCACGACTTGGAAGATGCTCAGGCGGGCAGGGTGTACAAAGACGTTTGTCAGAGCCTTCAACATTCTTGAATGTCCCAATGGGGCATTCCTGAACAACAGATGAAAGCCAGAAAATAGAGAAGTGTCAAGCAAGCAAACAAGGCAGAGATTTGCAATGGTGCAATGGTGGTAAACACTACTGTGTCTGTCTAAGTTCGTAGTTTGTTACACCCATTTTGTTGCTAAAATTAAGGAAAAGCAGAATTGGGGAAAATGTACGTCATATATGCCAGCGTTGATGTAACTAACATCATCATAAACCATACGACTTACCAAGCAAAATGTGCCATAGAGTCCCTTTGGACACTTTTTTCCAGTCATCGTTCCCTCTTCCCCAAAACGGCCTCCCTTGTCCCCTGCCCCTCCTCTGAAGACATCATAAAGGAAGCATTTTTTTCATATTAAAGACATATAAGTCAGATTCTAGAATCTAGAGTTCCAAGATAGTCCAAATTTAGCTTAAAGAAAATAGTATAGGCAGAGCCTCAAGTACCAAACACTAATAATTATCCTCTCAAATCCATGGTGATGTATAGTACTAGGAGTCAACGTATATATGCATGCTTGTACCCCAGTAACTACAAAAGACTCACAAAGTAGCAAGTATGCAAGGAAGATTGCTTGAATTATCATGACAATGATGCATACCTGTTACTAATGGACCCCTTGACAGTTGCGACAGGAAAATACTCGTCACCAGTGTGTAACATGTCCCAGTGAAAGTGAAGTCTTCCACCTCCACCCCCACCACCCCCAATAGGGCCACCTCGGCCCCCTCGAGCTGTTAGAGATGAATTCTTTGAAAGTTCAAGCATCTGAAGGAAAAGAAGAATCGTCCCACCAGATCCTCCACCAACTCCACCAACCAAAGATCTGTTAGCCTTCGTTACTGGCTCTCCCAGGCTTTGGCCATCAGAGCTTAGAGATCCACGCAGATTAAGCGTCAAAAGAGGAAAGTGGATGGAGCCAATTACTGAAAAGGTAGAAAAAAAATTTGTACATATGATATGACAGTGTCAGATGAGTAAACAGATAGTTCTTAGTGTACTATTACTGGCTGCCAGTTTTTCTAAAAGTTATAGAAATAGAAAAGTAGCACTGACCTATCATCCCTCCACCAATCACATTCCCATATGAGTTATCTGGACTTTCAGCTCCGCTCCCTAACTCACAAGGAAAATCCGGGTCGCCGTAGGTATGACCTCCACTGCACACTCTTCCATTATAAACGCCTGATCCCCCTTGCCCTCCATGGCCAGCACCACTACCAGCTCCATTCGAATAAAGTCCTTTTCCCAGCCCCCCACTGCAACCTGTCATAGAAATTTAATGCATAGAATCCGAAACCACATTAATCTCTTGAATACGTAGAAAGGTATTAATATTTTAACGACATGGCGAAAATCTTTCTGCAAAAAGGCAAACTGCTATAGGAATTTGCTAAAAAGGGAAGAAATTTTGATTTATGTACCAAATCCAGATGCACTGATCAAGCCTTCATCAGTAACCACTACCGTTCTTGCCCTATGGATTTGAATTATGCTTCCTTTAACAAATCCACTCACAAGAATGTCCTCAACTCGACATATCTAGAAAATTAAAAGGTTGAAGATTATCAAATTTTGAGGCTACAAATAAAAGAATAGAATTTGTAAGAGCGGTCAAGTCTAATATCACTCCAGGAGAATGTTACAAAAAGGACTAACTATGCACAACTATAGGTGTTACAGGATAACGGAATTCACAAATATTTGACTCATAATATAAGCAAAATTTTTTGATCAGTCTAATAATTTATTAATAATTATTAGATTCTTAACTTGTGTTACTTCCTAGTAAGTAGTACAAAGTCTATACATCACAAAATTTAACTCGTGCCAGTAAGAAAACTTTGAGCCATCAAGGTACTTTTTTATCAAACTTACCTGAAGGGAAAAGGATAGTGTATAATTGACATGACAATCATCCGGTGGACTTATCAAGTCTATTGGGCATGTCTTGCTCTCACAAAGGGAACGAGTAACCCTGTAAAAAAGAAAGAGACTTTCTAGCATAAGTGTTTCAATTATTTAGTCCAGTACTAATCACCCTTACAAATTAAAATGCAAACGTATATGAAGTCATACTTACGCGTTTTTGCTTTCGTCGTCGTCGAGTGGTGCTTGTAGCATAGAACCTGGCCCAACCTGCAAAATTAAGTAACTGTTAAAAAAGAGTTTTGCATACTACACCGATTACTATGTCTAATAGTTTGTAATAGACATACATAAACATGATCGCACAATAACATAGATGATCATGATAGATATAAAACAAATCAACAGAACTTGAATGAATTAATCATGTTTAAACAAGAATTTCTTACAGTTATGTTGTAAAACTGAGACAAGGAAAGTCTCTGGCCTTTAATTGCATCCCCAGGACCCGTGAGCGTCAACATTCCTTGACCATATACACCCAAGTTCGCATTAGAAGTAATGACGGATTTTTCCTACAATTGTTAGAAGTCAAGACCTGTCTTCCATTTCAACCAAAGAAAGAAAAAAGAGACATGATAAGTTTACAAGTATACCGTTAGAACTGCAAGGTTGCGAACTTCAAGGACAGAGGAAGGCACTGCAGGGTTTCCTTCTCCATCAATTTTAATTACAGAATTCAACATGAGCAGCATCTTCGTAACAAGCCGTAATGCACCATAAACCTTCACATATGGACAAAACAACTTAACAAGATATACAGAAAAGAAAGAGAGTAAAGGAGAACCAAGATTATTACTGTACGGTTAGGAACAATAACCTGCCTTTATAACGGAGTTACTCATTAAAAGCTCTTCTGCAACAAGCTCGAATTCTGAAATTGGATATTTTGATAGCCCAAAGACAATGCTACTTCCTCGATAAAGGCTTATTTGCCCTCTGACCTTTACAATCAGAAAAATAAGAAAAGAATAAGCATTTAGGGGTAGTGCCAACTCGAAGTATTTTTAAGGAAAGAGAGATCAAGGAGTTTAATAAACCTAATAACAAAAAGAACTGACAGTTGAAAGGTCATCTTTAAAAGAAAGCATATAGGAAGTCATCCATATTCTAATATAACTTATATTAAAAAGGTGTACGCGGATCACAAACGAATCAGGGCAGAGAAGATCATTCAGGACTTTTTCGAGAAGAAAAAAAACATTCAGGAAATGAACTGACCTGCATCCTGGTCCACAGCAGCGGAACCAAAACTTTTGCATGATTATCTACGTAGATGTTTGACCACAGAGGCCTTGTAGGAAAATCGAGCAAAGGAGTTTCAGTCTCTGTAGTCATGTTATCATTTCCAACCCTTAAACTATATAACTCTGCGTTAAAGTATGTTCCAGCAGCTCCAGCATTTTTGGGACACCCAATACTTGCACCACCTGCAGTCATATGACAATAGGACCAAAATAATTTTAGTAAGGAACATAACGCAAAGAACTATATCCACAGGAAACTAGAAAGGACATCAAGTTTCCCATAATAGAGAAGCCGGAAAACAATCTCAGAAGAGTTTACAGCTACAAGAAACCACAACTAACAAGATCCAAGCGACTGATAAACAGGGTTAAATCTGAGCATAGAGGTTAGTGAAACATTGGCCTTGATCCCCAAAAATTTTAGAGTTTTTTTTTACATAGTCATAGGCCCTCAAATTTTGAAATAAAAAAAGTTACTAAAGTTCTTAAAGAAATGTTTCAAGCCCCCAAAACTCAGATCTTGCCCTGATGATAAATAGAGGCTGTAGAAAACTTATGTCACTTGCATGAGCCCAGTTAGTTAGCAAAAGAAACACAAACCATGAACAAGAACTCTAACATCTTCTTGTATGCTGTAACAATCAAGAGAGATCCTTCCTCCACCACCTCCACCCCATCCCCTCCCACCTGATGCAGATATTTTACCGTTACCCTTCCTACACATCCAAAAACACACATCACAAAGATCAAACTCCAGCAAAAGAAGTAAGATACAACACTTAACACGGAAAACATAAAACTTACAGCTTCACAGCACTAACACAAATACTTCCACCAGACCCACCCCCACCTTCCTCACCACTATCCCCCCCATCAGCAGCAACAGAACCATTCAACACAACCGTATCCTTCATCACAAGCTTAACACGACCCCCACCTTTCCCTCCCTCCTTCATCCTAAACCCCCCTTCACTCCCATAACTCCACGGCTGATGCAAACTCGACCACGAATAAACATCCCCACCCCAATAAGTCGACACATTACTCTTCACACACGACGCCCCTCTCCCACCGTGCCCTCCCCCGGAACCATCCCTACCAAACGGCGTCCCGCTAGTCTGCGACGGCGGCGCTCCACCCAACGCCGTCGTGTAGATAGAAGAGTTCGCGTCCATGGTTAAATTAACAGCTCCGAGAACCACCGAGCCGGCGAGGATCCTCGCCGATTGGCCGACGTGGATGTTCCCGGAGACGTTGAAGGTGATCGTGCATCCTTGGATGGGGCAATCGACGGAGACGTGCGCGAGGATGTTGAGGTTCCCGGTGCCGTAGACTTGGACATCGGAATCGAAGCGGAGATTTGAGTTTAGTGTGCAGGTTGTGTTGAATGATCCTACGCCGTCGAGATCTTGACACGTCACGGGGTGGTGGTTATGGTGGTTATTTGGTTGGACGGTGGAGAGATACTGTGGCGTGGTGGAGACGAAGAGGATGCACAAGAGGATGAGTTCGAGCATCGGGAATCACCGAGATGAGCTTACACTAGACGACATCTAAAGTAAAAGTTGGATGCTAATCTGAGTTCATAACTATCTCCATAGACAAACAAACAGTCTCGAGAATTTCACTATGAGTCGAGAGAAGGGAGAAGAATCTGGGATTTGATTTTGGATCTTCAGGAGATATGTGAGTCAAGAGATTTTCTTTGTGGTTTACTTCGCTTTCCTTTTTCTTTTCTTTTCTTTTTCTTTCAGCGACTGTTAATGGAGTTGAAGCTACGCTTGGATCATATGTACAGCTGTCGTCAGTATCAAAGATTAAACACTCTACTTTTTTTTTTTGTTGTGGTTGTTACAGTTGTATTATCTTGATTTATTCATTTTTCTGATAAGGAAAATAAAGTTGACAAAAAAAAAAAAAAAGATAAGGAAAATAAACTAAAGGAACTAATTACGTAAAATCAAAATTTGTCTATCACTTTATTGTTTTCTTTTCCCAGGCAGAAAATTAAATGACGGAGTTCACGACATCGATCAATATTTTCCCATAAATTACGAGACTTAACTGAGTTCGCTCGTGTTGATGCAACCGTTACACTTTTCTTCTTCTGTCAAGATGATATAATATTTTGAGGCGGTCAAGGTAGTATCAGAGATTCAAAGAAAAACAAATTAAAGATTGACTCGATAATGTCTATGCTACTATCTTAACTTATTTGAAATCGATCGGCTAGTGTCAAAACCATGACGTCAAACTATAGTATAAAGCCAGGAGAGATGTGTCACTGCTCAGATTAATTTATCTAGTAACGTACAACAGATTTGGAAAATGAATTTTATAATTGGCATGTTACCTTGTAGAAAATTAAGAAATTTGAGTGGTTGTCAAAAGCCAATATCAAAGGAGATGAGAGATAATTAGGGAAACTTTAAAGGATTGGCCCAGCCAGATTCTGAATCTAGTGACCAGAGCGAGCAGGTATAAATGCTCACGGCATCTCGCATTTCCAATTTTCTATCTTAAAAAATTCAATCCATGAGATGAGCCTCCTTTCAGATATTTGTTTAATTTTAACGCTAAAGTTTCTTGTGTGCTCAGATCAAACCAAAAACAACAGATGGAGCGTTTCGTTTTGTTTCGCATAAGATGTATGGGCCCATTTCGTATTCAGACAAACGTATACATTAAACACCGCCTCCAGTCAAGTTGACACATGATTGACACATGTTCAAGGTTGCAAGGAACCCAACAAAAATAGACGAACGTAAAACATATCAACACTTCTGCTTTCATTAGCTGAAAAGCCATTTTTATGCCCCCAAACCAAAACCAAATCAGCTTTTCTTTTGCTGTAAACAACCTCTACCAAACCCCAAAAAAACATAAACCAGACAAAACCTTTTGCTGTGAAAAACTTTTAGACATTTTATTTTAAAAATCCTTCAAACCGAAGATATACTTTGAAAACAAAAAAGAAATATAAGACAAACTGAAACTTAAAAATAGATGTTTATGAATATCGAACACCAAAAACCGGATTGGAAAACATCCATAGGCCACAAAGTAGCCAGTCTAGAACCAAAACTTGCACGACATATCACAGATAATCAGATCATATACCAAAACCGAATCAATGATTCAGACAAGCACCAAGTGAAAACATCCAAAGAAACAAATAAACCAAGAGTTTCTAGTTATCATCATATCAATATCTTCAGATAACTATATCTTCAGATAATAAACCAAGAGTTTCTAGTAAGACGATGATATTATAAATATTACACGGCAAAAACAAACATATAATCCCAGAGGATTTACTGACCAAGACTTCTCCTCCCTGGTTACTTAGGTACATTACCTGTTGCTGCGTTAAGCGAGCCAGAAAGGCACGTACCTTACAAGACCCGGGAAGCCAACCAGATGTTTGTTTGGAGCCGTGATAGCGCGATACCAAGCTGCTGAATTTGCAATAAGGGTGTTTGTTTACAAACCCGTTGCATTCAACCTTTGCCTGTGTCATCTTTAGCCATTGTGAGGAAGTTTAGGGTTTTGTGAGCCTTGGTTAGGAGGTTGAGATTGCTGTGGGCCTGAAAGGTTTAGAGGCTGGGTGTAGTGTGAGAAAGGCTGCGAGTAGAGTGAATTCGGGAGACCCTGAGTGAGGAAGAGTAGTTAGCATCTTTAACCAGAAACATGTGGACACAGATAAAGATGGTCAACACTACTAAGGCATCATTTGTTTGTCTGAGTTTTAAACACATCTTTCTATTAATTGTAAACGTAAACGCCAACCAAAAAAAAAATCGCAGATTAGGATTGTTCTGATCAAAAGGACAAACCTGAGACTGAAGATTAGGATTGTTCACACCAAAAGAATTCTGTTGTCCATCATCCTGGGATGAGTCGATAAAGCCAGCTTGGGTGAAAAGACCATGTGCTCCGGGTGCCATATACTCCTGCATGAGCAATAAAAGGCTCAGAAAGACTGAAAAATTTGTGTTGGAAGGAGAAAGGTCAGGTGAAACACACCTGAGACATGAAATCATTACTCCCACTGAAACGAGAATAACCCCCCTGAGAATTCTGGTTCATATAATTTCCAGGAAACGCTCCATGGGCTCCTTGTGTGGCATAGTCAACAGCATATCCCCCCTGTGAAACATACTAGGGAATTATATACACATGACCCAGATCTCAACAACAGATATAACCAATGCGAGAAAGCTATGATTCCTATGTGAATCACTAAAGCAGGCAGAAGAAACTACACCTGTGTAGAAAAGTCAGCCATGTAAGGAGCATGAGAGCCCTGGCTCTTGAAATCGTCACCCAAGAAATCCTAATGGTATTGTCAAAAGAGAGATTAAACAACATATAAAAGCAGAATACATTGCAACCAAGTCGCCAAGTAACAATAAACGAGATGACAACCTGAGATATGCCGCCCATAAATCCATCCCTGAAAGCTTGGCTACCCTGAAAAGGCAACTAACGTGTCATGATTTAAATTAAACCAAAATAATCGAGCCCTGATGCATCAAAAACTCGATTAAAAGACAAAAGAAAATTGAAAGGGACGAGGACAATATTACATATCCAGGTTGGGATAGCGGACCACCAGATGATGGTTGGCTATGTGGACTATCAAGGGGAAAGTTCAAATTAGGGCCAATAGTTCCAACATTATGCTGGGTGGCTGGTTGGTGTGGAAGGTGGCCACCAACTGAACTTCCACGACCAGTACCAACAGGTCCACGAGCGGGAATAGCATATGGTTGAGAAGGAGGACCACCAGGAAACGGTGAAAGTGGCACCCTAGGCATTGGGTAGCCCGCTGGGTGTAGTCTAGCGCCATTAGGTAGGCCAGAAGACATATAAGAACCACCAGCTGAATCAATAGAAGAAAAGTTTTGGAGGGGATCCACATTAGGTGGGCCATAAGGTATACAACAATCACAAGCTTAATCAACAGAATGACAAAAGCACACATAATCACAGAAGATGCAAAAAGGTACTGGACATTTACTTACCCCTACCACGGCTTCCTCTTCTGTCAGCATTGGGATTACCAGAACCAAAATTATCATTTCCCATAATGCCAGCCCCACCACCATAAAATGGTCTCCGATCATTGTACATCTAAAAGAAGTACGAAAGAGGATTAGTGTTCATATTTCTTATCCTTTCAATCTACTTTGATGGAAATCGAGGTTCATTTGGTACCTTTCTTGGTTTCTGAAATTGTATCATGCTTTGCTTTAAGTTATTAAGCGGTCCTTCAACTAAGCACTCATGTTCCTGTCGATACAAGGAAAACAAACAAAATGATTGACTTGGACTAAAAGTATTCATCCCAAAGGCTTCGCATAGAATGACTGTAAGAACTCATGTGATGGCACCAGAAGGTGACAAAGACGGTCCAGTGAAAGACCTCACTTATGCTTTCTGAAAACTACCTTGTAATGTGTTAGCAAGCCATTCCACAGAGGTTGTTTACTAAGAACCTTCGGATTTCCAAGAATAACAATTCCATAACGAGCACGCGTCAGTGCAACATTGAGCCTCCGTGGATCATTAAGGAATCCAATGCCCTGGAAACATAAACCCAGCAGTTACGAGTCAAATTCTACAATGCTTCTCAGACGCAATGTACCACAGAGCACCCACAAACCTGATGCTCGTTACTTCTCACACAGGACAATATGATGTAATCTTTTTCTCTTCCTTGAAAAGAATCAACACTGGCAACCTGTAAAGTTGGGAGCTTGTTAAATAAGTGACAGGGTCGAATTAAACCATTTCAAAACCGCTTTTTGACAATACTACCTCAATTTCCTTGTAAAGTTGCTGTCGGAGAGAACCATTTCTTGTCATGTAATTAACAATGTATGCCCTCTGTCCCTCGTATGGAGTTATCACTCCAATCTGGCAACAAGAAGAACGTCAACATATACCAACATGACATATCAGATCTAGTAACTAATTTTAGTACGCTCACCTGACTGGGGACAACTCCACTCTTTAAGAAAGCGGTCACAAGTTTCTCAACATTAGCAGCCTCGGTTCTATTTAGATACGATGTTCCACTAGCACTGATCTCCTCTTGCCCCAGCTGCAAATTGGAAGACGATATATATGGATCAAGTTTGTTTTTAATGGGTTTGGTAGTGGGGTTCAGGCCCAGGGTTCATGTCGACCATGCTTAAACGTTATAAACAAATCACAATGCAAAATTTGATACCTGGACATAGAAAAACATGGGCCTGTTAGGTACAGGCCACGGGAAATCAATCCCTGTTGTTTGCCTTTCAATAACTGTGACTCCATTCTGTAGTGTTCCTTCGTAGAAGCTATTGGATGGAAACTCGGACAAAGCTGGATGCATACGATATTGAACCTGAAATTAAGAAAATGACAACATTTAGTGAACAGCCACCAGACGTAGTGAAACTGTGGAAGGAAAATAGAACATGTTACAGTATATTGTATAATCTCACAACTTTCTTCAGAAAGAAAAAAA